ATATGTCAAAATAATGGTTGAGATTTTTTGCATCATATTATTTAATATCCTGTGTAATATTTATTATGTGTGTGCTGGTAGAAAAAATTTGGAAGTTGGTCAACCGTAACCATTTGATAGTGATGATCCCCATAATTTACTAATTAATTTTCAGAATTTTATCTACTTCTATCACGCATCACGAATTAAATTAAAAAAAAATTTATTATGAATGATTCATTGTTAAGGCTTTTTTTGATGTTTCGGTTTGCATGTTGCAGAATAGCAAGTAACCTAACTTTGTATGGATTTTACTTTTGGATGATTCTTGACTTATTTTAACATACTTTGGGTATTGTAACGACCACTTTTGCATTACCTGCATGAAAAAATCCTTGTAAAATGGTAATTATTTTTTTAGAAAATTTTGTTCCGCCTCTCTTGTTTATAAAAATGCCATTTAAAATTATATTAATAGATATAATTTGCAATTTAATTTAATTCTAATTTATGAATTTATTGGCCTAATTATTTAAAATAATTTTGTTAATATGGACGATCACCTATTCTTTGGAGTTTGTGGACGAGGTTTAGTTATTTCTACTTTTGATAATTTTTGAATTGCACCGGATTTTATACAAATTTCTATCGTTGATGGACGGACCACAAATAAAAGATGTTCAGAAAGTTCAACTCTTTTTCCCTTATTTTCTTCAGTTAAGACATGTGGGACCCATTTTGCACATACTTTTGAAGCTTCCAATTCATAATGAATTCTCTCAGTAGAAATACCCATTAATTCCTCTAATGTTTTAATTGATATATGTGGGTCTTCAACAATAAGTTCTTCAATTTCTGCAACATTTTTTGGGGTGACAATTTCTTTTGGGCGTCCAAAACGTGAACCAGAAAGGAAAAAGAAGTAAATGAATGCGCTTTTATGAAAGGAAAGAAGCTATGCCCAAACCTTATGGATAAAAAGGAATATGCAGTCCATTACAGGATGCTACAATATTATGTAAAATGGGTATGGAAATTACTAAGATCCATATGGTATTAGAATTTGACCAATCTCCATGGCTTGCACCATCTATTAACTGTAATACAAACATGAGAAAGAACACTAAAAATGAATTTGAAAAAGACTTTTTCAAAATCATGAATAATTCGGTATATGGAAAGACTATGGAAAATGTTCACAATTATACTGACATAAAATTAATAAAGCTCAATGATAACTGGCAATCAGAATGTGCAGTGATAAAGAATATATCAAAGCCTAGATGTAGAGATTTCAGAGCATTTAATAATAATTTATGTGCAGTACATCTAGGTAAGGAAAAAGTATTTACCCAATAAACCAATATATGTAGGATCAGCAGTATTAGATCTCAGCAAGCTTTGGATGTATCAATATTGGTATGATTATGTTAAGGTTGAATATGGTGAAAAAGCAAGTCTTTTATATACTGATACAGATTCACTTGTATATGAGGTAGAGACCAAAGACATATACACTCACTGGTCATAAATATAACATGAAAAAATCCTTGTAAAATGGTAATTATTTTTTTAGAAAATTTTGTTCCGCCTCTCTTGCTTATAAAAATCCCATTTAAAATT